GCACTTCTGCTCTTCCCCCCACGCCCATGGACTTTTCTGTGTGCATTTTGGGAAAAGACGTGCGCACTAAGAGGAGTTGGGTGTATGACTAGAACTCTCGATCAAATGACCTCATCCTGTCAAAGAGGTGCCTCCCAGCTAGGGCAGGATAGATCGCGCCTCAAGTAAAAGTTCGAGGCTTTTGTCTACCTGACTCTGGCCCACTTCTCCCCTTGGAGTGTGTTCAAATAAAACTTTTGCTCTGCTTTGCTGTTTCGGTGGGAGCAGGAACCAAGGAGAATAAAGTCTTCCAGCAACACACGCACGTGGGCAGTCTCTTCTGGTCCAGAGGGCCAGTGATGATCAACAGCCCCAGAACTCACACCCTATGAACAGGACAGAACAAGCCTCAGGTTTCATCCCCAGGGAAACAGTTGGTGGCAAATTCTAATGTTTTACATGTGTTTAGAATACCTGTAAAATTAAAAATACCTTCTCTTACTGCAAAAAAAAATTATTATAGAAAACACAGATATTCAAAAAAGCATCAAATTAATCTGTTAACCCAGAACCCTGAGATAATCACCATTAATCACCTCAGTCTCTCTAGATATTTCTCTTTGTACCGCACGTGAATTTTAACTATAAATTAGAATGGAACCTTTTTGAGAGCAAGAACTACCTCATTTCTAGCATCTAGGATAATACTTGGTGTAGAAAAGGTATTTGATAAATATTTGATAAAACAGTGTCTGAATGAAAACTATCTCAAATTTCCCAGTAGGCAAGAGAGAAAACCTATTTTCATTATCATTACAAATGACTTAGAGGAAGGATGGATAAATGTGTGAATTTCAGGCATCCTGAGGCTGATGGGAAACAAGTTAGGGTGGGCGACCCTCTGGTGGGTGGGAGACTCTCACAGGACAGTGCCAATCATCCCCAAGGGGCAGCCAGCCTTTCAGTAATGGAAGAACCCACCAAGTTTCCTAGGAAGGGCCACTCCTCCATCCGCTGGTCCAAAGGACACCAGCTAAGCAGGGAGCAGCCGCACTGTCTCAGGTCCCCTGTTGGAAGTGGACCAGTGGGTGGACTCTGCTGCTGGTTTCAGAGGCATAAAGTGCTATGCCTACCTCAGTGGAGGGCCCTGTTGGCAGGGCTGGTTCATATCCCACCCCACCTCTGGTCCCATTCCTGGGAGGTGTGGCCCCCTCGTCCATGGCTCCTTTTCTCCATCCTCTTCTCTCCCCTCCTCCTGCCCCAAGCCCTCTGACCAAGTGTCCATTCTGAAGTCCGCCCTCACCACTGCTTCAACTCCCCCACCTCTGCCCTGGACCAATCCTACCCCCTCCCCCACCCCCTCCAGACCCCTCACCTTGCTTCAGTGTTGCTGTCTAACCTAGGCAGCCAGAGGAGAAGGCCGTCCTGCTTCCATTCCTTCCCAGGCTCCTGGAAGCAGCCTCCAGGGCAAGAATCCAGAGCTTCCGTGGTCTGGCCATGACCTCTCTTCCTCCGCCACGCTGTATGCGTGCCTGGGACACCTCCTGTTTTGCTCATCAGCACCTCCTGGGAGACTCCCCCGGGCTGGGCTGAGTCCCAGGCTGCAGAGCCTGGTCCTCCCTTGCCGCCTTTTCTTCCCTCCCTCTCACGGTCTGTCTTTAACTTCTGCCACTTCCTCAGCCCCAAGCACCATGGAATTGCAGATGCTTCAGGCCCCTCCCTGTCATTGTCCCTGAGGGGAAGCTGCCCAAGGTCACAGAGCAGGTCAGGGGCCGGGCGGGAACAGGAACCCAGCTAGTTAGGGCAGGTAACCTTAGAGGAGGAACTCCAGGCGGCCACTCTTTGGAGAAAGTTGACGGGCAGTGAGAGGGACTGGCTGCCCCTTTTTCAGCCTCCCTTCTCCTACGCTTGAGGCATTTCAGATCCTGGCTCTTCTGCCTTCTTTGCCACAGGCCCTAGTGTCCTTGGTTGGGTCATTAATTCTAGGGTAGGACTGGAGGTGGCAGAGGGGACCCAGCTCAGGGGTTGGGGTAGAAGGGGTAAGATGGGCTTGATAGGAAGGCCATCATCTGCCACCTGCTGGCTGGATTCAAGCGCCAAGCAATCTCTTCCTGGTCTTTGAATCTTGCCTTAATCACTGTGACCTTGAAATCCAAGATCTCTGTCCTCAGTGTCCCCACCTTCCTCCTCCCACTGGAGGCATGCCCTTGTTTATTGTCCCTGTGGTCCCAGCACTCAATCTGTTAACCCTGCTCACGTTAGCATCCCCATGCCAGCGGGTCTGTATCTGAAGAGGGCTCTGGCAAGAGCGATGCTTGACCCAAAAGGACTGTGTGCTGACAGGGGGCTTCCCGGCAGTGGGACAGCCCGCTGGGACCAGGGGCTCTGGGGCAGAGAGAGCTTCCTAGAGTCCTCAGATCTGACCCTGTGGGTGTTCACTTTCTCTCTCTAAGTAAGCCTGACCCATTTGTGTTTGTCACTGAATTAAAATTCCAAGGAAAGGCAGGCTGCAGGTTGTTCCAAATAGAAACACACATGCACAGAGAACAAGGGCTTCTGCCAACATCCCAGACGGGCCGCCTTCCCTTCCCTGCTCTGCGGGCCTGCAGGCCCTGGGCTGGCCAACCTGGGAGGAGAGGGATCTGGTAATGCTTCCTGTGGTCCAGTAAAAGTCTGCTCCTGCTCCAGGCAGTCCCTGGGGGCTCAGCCCTTCCAAGCAGGAAGGGTGAGGGGCTGGGGTCTTGTGGGGAGGGTGTTTTCAATATGAAGTCATTTTCCACAGTGAAAAAGCAGCCATGTTCTGCATGGTCCACTGGCAGTCTGGGATGTTTGCCCAGCACCAGGAGAGAGTCTAAAAATGCCCAAGCCCATCTTGGGATCTCAGGAAGCTGGCTAGAAAAGAACCTGCGAGTCAGCAAATCTCAGAACAACTGCCTTCCCCTCACTGAACTCAGCAAAAGGGGGGAAACTCATTCCAGCCTCTAGGGGCTCCACAACCTGCTGGGTGACACGGTGCCCAAGATTGAGCACTGCCTGGAGAACCTGCAAGGGTTCTTTCCTGTCTCTGGGTTCCCAGTGCCGAGAACCAAGTAGGCCCCACCATGCAGTGTGTTAGACCGAGTTGAAAATCCGAGGACATGTCAGGGGGAGGGACAAGGAGTCCTAGGAATGCCTAGGAGGGGCCCTCCGTAGAAGAGAAGGGTCTGGAGTTTCGCCTAAGATGTCCTCACCTGGAGAAAAGGAAGAGGCAAGCACGTGGTGGGGAACATGGCAGAAGGAATGGGCTCCAAGAGCCAGGCGGGCCTTGCTCTCCTACATCACTGTGATAATCAAAGCAATGTGGTAGGCTAGGGCGTAACTGGCAGTGGGGTCAGGTAACAGACCAGGCATGGAAGATATCTTAGTATGTGAAGAACTAAAGGACACATAGATAACCAATGAGGAACTGATGGGTTATTCAACAAATGCTGGAAAATGGGCTACCTGGGGGGAAATCACGTTTGACCCTGACCTTGGACAATGTGTCTTAAGTAATGATAAACTAGCAGCCAGGTGGGCTGAGAAGGGGGGATTCAGTGGGACAGAGGTACACAAGAGACAGGTCGCTTCATGCATTCACCTGCTCCCCTGGCCGAGAGGGGAAGCCTCAGTCAAGGAACCTGCCCCATCTTCCTTAGCACCCCAGGAGAAGGTGCTTACGAAGGCCAGACACCTAATGACCTGAGCATTTCTTTCAAGTACAAAACTTTGTGAGCTGATCTAGAACAGAAACTCCATGGGTGTCTTTGTTCAAATTCAAGTTTATCAAAAGGCCATTTCTGTACCCAAGCCCTGCAGGAAGCCGCCCTGCTGCTTCCCTTCCCCAGACGCATTTCTTGTCTGTACCACTCATGCTAGACACTCGGGGGTCCTGGGGATTTGTCCCATTCTCCCAACTGCTGGTATAATGGAAACCTAAGTGTTAGACCACCCATTGTCCCACCCCTTTGTTCTATGGAGGGAGAAACTGGGGCCCAGCGAGAAATGAATTCTCAATGTCACACAATGTCAACCAGAGGCCGAGCTGGGCCTGGGCCATCCCTTCCAGGCTCCAGTGTCCTGCCCGGTTCTCCTCTGGAGCTCCTTACAGTTTCCTCTCCAGCCCCTTTTTCTAAGACTTTTCCTTGCTTTCCTCTGGCTTTTCTGTTTCCCTGTGATGTCTACAGTGCTACGTGCCTGTCTGCTTTGCTGTCTGACAACTCTATTCCATGATGACCCTGGCTTGGTGAGACAGGGAGGGTGTCCCAGGGGCCCGGAACATGCCCTGTGTCCTGATAGACTCCAGCCCTCCTCCCTGCACTGAGCCTGGCTGGGGACCAAGGACACGTACCCCCTCTGGCCCTGGGCTCAGAAGATAAACGTCCCCATGTGTTTCCCCCCCTCCACCAGCAGATGCTGTGAGCATGTCACCTCTCTGGACCTGGCTGCTCTTCTTGAAAATGGGAGGAACAATTGGACATACCACCTTGAGATACTGTGAAGCTCAAAAGAATCAAGTATATGGAGAAGTGCTTTTTAAACTGCGAAGCATCATTGCAGGATAAAACACTGATGTCCCCAGACCCCACCACGGGCCTGGACACAGAGCACATGTCTACTGAATAACAGTAGAACAGTGGTTCTCAACTGGGGATGATTTCGACAGCCCAGGGGATTGGGTGATATCCAGAGGTGTTTCTGTTTGTCACAGCTGGGTGGGGGCTGCTACGGCATCTGACTGATGGAGGCCAGGGAGGTGCTAAACACCGACAGTGCACAGCACAGCCCTCACAGCAAAGAACGATTTAGCCCCAAATGTTCATAGCGCTGACATTCAGAAGGCTCACCGCAGATGAATGGAAGTGTGGACTTGTATCTGTGGATAGAGACGTGGCTTGTTGTTCCAGAAAGGCAAGGAGCTGTGGCTGGGGAGTTGACCAGCAAGACACCACGGTGACCACGAGCCGGAACCTACGAGGTTAAATGAGATGGCCATGCCCAGGTTTGACAAGTTGAAAACATTTTATTTCAATTCTTTCCTTGGGAGGCAGCATAAATAATCACAGAAGACTGCAAAGGTCAATGGGGAAGAAAAAAAAGCTCAAGAAGTGTGGAGAAGAGATGAGAGCTGACAGTGTCTAGCTGAGGGGGGTTGGTGGTGAGGAGACCCTGCTTTGGCTTGCCCAGGGGGGAAGGGTCTTGGAGGAAAACCCCGGGGGGTGGGGAGGCTTTCCCTGCCCAGGTCACCTGGAGGGCCTTAGGGAGGTGGGACCTCTGAGGACGGATGTTCTGCACCGAGGCCATGAGAAAAGCAGGTATGGAGAATAACGCATCTAGTAGATCCTGGCTAAGAGAGAGAAGAGCAGACACCCCCATTTCTTGATCCCCAGGCCAGATCTCACCCCCAAACTGTGACTCTTCTGAGAAGAGCAGTGTTTATGGATTCTGTGGATAGTGGGAAATGAAGGGAGAAAAGAAGGAAGCAAAAAAGAAAATGTGTGGAAGACCAACTGAAATGTGGCGTCTCCAAGAGTCCTGTGACCTTTGGCCACTTCTCAGTTTCCTCATCTGCAACATGGAAAGAATGCTCCCCACCTTCTGGAAGGGATGTGAGGCTCAGATGAGATCCTAAGTGCCAAAGAACTGTGTAAACTTTAAAGGGCTATACCGACGCGAGGGGCTGTGGTCACTCTACAAGCGTAAGGCTGAAAGTGGCTGAGACAGCAGTGGGCAGAGGCACACAGGGCACCCCCTCAGAGCAGTCAGACCCTGCTCGGTCTTCCCCGGGGCTCTGCTCCACTCCTCTCAGCCTCAGCCTCCAGGAGGAAGAAGCCTCATCTCAGAGGGAGTCCCCTGGGGGGCGAGAGCAGAGGGTGGGGCCAGGAAGAGGTAGGGGCACTGAGCGTAAGGGGCCTCAACTGGGCATGTGACACGTTGGCACTACTGGTATTGGCGGGTGGTGGAAGTGGCTTCCAGTTCTCATTCTCCACAGAGACTCGGGCACTGGTGAAGCCCCCATGGGATTGGCATCTTGATGCAGTTAGAAGGGGCTGCCCTGGGGTCTGGACACCCCAGTCCTGGTCCTGGCTCCACTGTTGGCCTGCTGGGTGACCAAGTAAGTCACTTCTCCATTGCAACCCCCTCAGTTCCGTGATTTGTAAAATGGGAACACTATTCCCTACCCTGCCTGCCTTACAAATTAAATGGGAAAAGGGGGTTGCAAGAGCTTAGAAGAGAATCATGGGAAGGCAAGGAGTAATTATGGCCTTGGCGAGCAATCCTCTTAATTCCCTGAAGACGAGAGAGAGGGGGTAAGAGACAGAGGGGGCTGGGCTGCTTGCAACCCTGTCTGGTGGCTCGGGCTTCCAGGGCTGCCCAGGGGGGAGAGGGCAGTCGGCAGGGGAGGATCGGCCAAGGTCTGCAATCCTGCCCTTCCTGTGGTCCATTAGGAGTGCTGTGAGCCCCAGCAGGGAGCACTGAGATGTCCTGGAAGCCCCTTTCACAGGGGAAAAGTTCAAGTCTAAGTCAACTGTGGGCCTGGCCTGCCCTTCTGCTCCCTGATCTGTTGAGGGCACCCTTCAGGGAGTCTGTGGTCTTGGCCCAGCTGAGGGGAAGTCAAGGTCCCTGGGTGGCAGAGAAAGGAGCTGCCAGCAGTGGATCTCCGGCAGAGGCTGAAGACTTTTATTAGCATGAGGTCAATAGGTCAAAGGTCAGCTTCCAGTTCTTGAGGCGGCAGGCAGGGTCCTCAGGCTCTGTCCAGTCCCGGCTCTGTCTCTGGGGTCACCGGATGGGGGCAGTTAGGGGACGAGTACAAACAACAGAGAAATCGGCCCCACAAAGGAGCTAACAGTTCTTGGGGCTGTTGCGCAAGTTTTTCAGTTCCAGCTGCAGCTGCCGAATGCGGATGTCCCTCTGGGCTAGCTCCTCTTTCAGTCGCCGGATCTCATCCTGCTGCCGGAAGAACATTCGGAGAAGCTGGGGTGGACGAAGAGAGGGCGTCAGTCAGGGCCGGGAGGGAGCAGTGAGGGGGTGACTGTCAGAGGGGTCCCGGACCCCACCCCTGCCCCCCGGTGAGGCCTCTGCCCTCCTCTCCCTCTCTCCCAGGCCTTGCCCTGCTCCCCACAGCTACGTCCCAGGTGACTCATGTCACCAGGGCTCTCCCTTCTCCAGACCCAGCCCTCAGCTCCTACTTTCCCTTGTGAGGTAGGGAAAAAAGAGGGCCCCAGCCTGTGGCACTGACTCAGGGTCACCAAGGAAGGGGTGCGTTTTGGACAGTTTTCCAAATATCCAAGCTTGGCCTTTTAGGGGCTCAAACCTAACACTTGTATTTACCATTCTGAACAGAAACCTTTCTAAACTGATATGCATCCTTCTTTTCTTAAGGAAGCTCAGCAGTCAGGAAGAAATCCAGCTCTTTTCCTGCTGACATGGGACTGTCACCGGCACACCAAAGTTGGCACTGGGCAGCCAGTGGTCCATTTGCTGGAGTGGCATGGGCCAAGCATAGGTGTCTGACAGACCTTCACTTAGATGATCCCCTGCATTAACCAGTCCCTCTATTTCTTCCATAAAACAGACTGACAGATGCCCACCAAACACTGAGCCCTGGAAGGCAGCAAGCTGCTTGAGGGCCCCAAACACTTGAACTGGATGTTACCAACAATCAGTCGTGGGTGTCCTCAGACTTCTTCATCATTTGTTCTTATAACTGGATAATTTAATTAAGTATAATATCAACTGATGAAATGCATACAAAAAGAAAGTTTATAAAAGCTATAAAACTATAAAAACTAAGTTGAATGCATTAGAAAATGTTGATTAAGGTCAGCTAAAAAAGCTGCTATTAGTGTGAATTAGTGTGGATGATATAGGCCTAGAAGACTGGGGGAATATTATCTATCTTGATTGTGTGATGGTGGCTGCGTGTGTGTGTCAAAACTTATGGGACTGAACACTACAAAGGAGGATGTTTTAAAGGGTCTGAGCAGACAACACAAATGCCACAATCTCTCTGCACTAACGCTTGCACACCTTCCTCATCAGGAACAAATTTCCTCACAGCCTACTGATTCTGGGTTTATGCACAGTTTTAATCATCACAGCAGGCTGATTTACCACAGGTAAATCATACCTCAGTTACCTCAGTAAACCTGTCTTTAAAAAATCGGTGCGAGAAGGATACTTTGAAAAAACTAGGGCTTTATTTTTAGATTGACTTGAAGTTTTCTCCTCCACCTAAAAAAAAACTCCAACTGGAAACTGAAGTTAAAGTGTTAGTTTTCAGAAAGACAGCAGATCCCAACCAGAGATCTCCTCAAAGAAAAGGTCTTAGTCCTACATCAAAATACGTTGAAGGAGTATGTATGTTTTATCTTTGAAATGAAAATAAAATAGTTTATAAAGAATGTCTCTATCATTTTTATGATTCTTTCCTTTAACTGGCTTTTTAAAAATTAACTGGCAAACCGGTTCTGGTTATGTCTGTTCAGAGGGACTCTAAATGTCTATACATTCCTGTGCCTTCCAAATTCTCCACATTTCTTTGAACAATTTTTTGGTCAGCTTTTGTTTAAAAAAAACAGCTTTATTGAGGTGTAATTCACATACTATACATTTCACTTATTTTAAGTGTACAATTCAGTGCTTTTTAGCAAGATTACAGAGTTGTACGACCCTAAGTTCTTCCTCTATGTCAGCCTACCAGTTGTTTCTTCACACCCAGATCACCTACATCAATACTCTCTACAGCCCTATTTTCTAACTGGTTGCCTCCAGTCTGCTGTGATGATTAAAACTGTGCATAAACCCAGAATCAGTAGGCTCTGAGGAAATTTGTTCCTGATGAGGAAGGTGTGCAAGCTTTAGTGTAGAGAGATTGTGGCATTTGTGTTGTCTGCTCAGACCCTTAAAACTTTTCTTCCAGGCCTTCAATTCTCACTCATATAAACAAGTCATAGCTAAATGTTACTCAGTTTTACTATTATTTAGCCCTGCCTTCTATACACCCACTTCTAGCACTAAGTTTGGTCGACTCACCTGGGCTATGACAGCAACTCAAGTACCTATACCTTAAGAGGGCACTTAAAAACTTTTTTAATGGAAAATTCTACATGTGTACAAAAGTAGAAAGAATAGCACCATAAATCTCCATCATCAACTAGCACTAACAAATAACATGTGACCATTCTTGCTTCATCTCTATTCCTATCCACTTCTGCACCACCTCCCTTGGGGATTATTTTGAAGCAAATCCTATTTATCACATGATTTCATCCAGCTCTAAAAATGTGCACTCCCTTTTACAGTGTGACAAGAAACCTCTAAGATAGCCTCTATGATATTCCCTCCCCTAAAGTGTGAACTGTATTTCATAATTTATTCCAAATAAATAGAACATGGCAGAAATGATGAGATGTCTTTCCAAGGTTAGGTTACAAAAAGACTGTGGCTGGCATCTTGGCTCTCTGGCTTATTTGCTCTAAGGGACGCAAGCTGCCAAGTTGTAAGCTGCCCCATGGAGAGGTCTGTATGGCAAGGTCCTGAGGGGGCCCTCTGGCTGATAGTCCAGAGGACCTGAGACCCTCAGTCCAACAACCTGTGAGGAAATGAGTCCCACCAGCAATGATGTGAGTGAACTTGGAAGCAGGTCCTTCTGCATTGCAGTTGAGCCTTCAGATGTGACTACAGCCTCAGCTGACAGTTTTAACTATATGAGAGACCTTGAGCCACCAGCATCCATAGAAACTGAGATAATAAATGTTTGTGGGTTTAAGTCACTAAGTTCTGGTGTAATATTCTGTACAGCAATAGATGGCTAACATAGTTAGCCCCTTTGGGTACATAATATGAGCCAGGAAGAGTGCTTAGGGATTATCTCTTTAATGCTCACAGCATTTCATATCCCCATTTTACCAAGAGAAATGGACTAAGAAGGTCAGGAAACTTGCCCAGGCAGAGAACCAGGATTCAAATGTAGGTGGGTCCATGCAGCCATCTCTATCAGCTGCCATCAAGCCAAGTGCCTGTCACATGGTAAACATGCTGTGAATCCTGGCTAAGCTAAATTGTACTGGCACCACGGACTGACGGTATGGCTAGGAGGAGAAGCCTTTGGGGGGTCTGGACAAGGCCAGCTATGGTTGTCCCTGAATGAGCTGCTCCCATTCTAAATGGCACAAAGAGCACTTTCATAAACACTCAGCCTCTTCCACAAAAACAGGAAATTGTCAGACCCCGTCACTGCCGAAATGCCAGGGAGGAAGGCAGTACTGTAAAGCATGAGGCCGGACTCCCGTGTTAGTCAGGAATTTATAACTCCCATAACACCAAATGACAGTGACATTCTGAAATTCACAAGGAGACAGTAACTGGGTGGGAAGTGAATGTGAGTGTGGGCGGGGGGGCATCCATATCACGGCAGTACCCCAGCCTCTATTTATTGGGGTCAGAGACAATGGAAACCAACAGCAGGCTACTTAGGGTATTTGTCACAGAAGGAAAAATGCCTTTGAATGTAGCTGGCTGAAAGGCCTGAAGCCCTCACCGAAATGCACAGGGCTCACTCTCCCGGGACCTGTGGAGGCAATAACTTACATTCCTTACCTCATTCTCTGTTCTAGGGGGGACATTTTCTAATAAATCTATTCCATTGACCACAACACTCTTCTTTTCTTTGATGGGAGCCTTAAACACCATTTTTGAGGACTTCTTATAGCCTTCTTTCAAAGACATCAGCACGGGATCTACAAAAGGCAAGGTAAATGTTCACACTGACATTCAATGGACTGTCAAGCGTTGGTGTCTTTCATTGACACCACGCTTGACGGTTGGCCAAGTGTGAGGGGCAGTTCAAGTGGAAGCAGAGACCCAAGGCAAAAGACCTTTGCTAGACCCAAGGCAAAGGTTGCAGTCTCTTAGCCTTTTCGGTAGACTCCAACCCCTGTGGTACCTCGGTTGATGCCTCCCAGCCATTCATCGGGGGTCAGAGCTGGCTCCGTGCCTGGCGTCATGGGGTAAATGTCTTCCTGGTAGGAATCCGACTGTAGTGAGGGGGAGCAGAAGAATGGATAGATTGGGGGCTGCTGAGAAAACCCCTGCTCTCCAGCAGACTGTTCTCCTTGCTGACCTCCAGTCATACGACCTGCTTTCCTGACTCCAAGCCTTTGCATTGACAGTGTCTCCCCCCTTGGAATTCCCATCCTGCTTTCATTCGCAAACCAAACTGTCCCCACCTCAGACTATCCTTCACCTCCCACCCCAAAGTGGGTCTAAGGAACCCTGATCCACAGGAACTCCTTCTTCTGGGCCTCTTAGGCTTACAGTCAGTGGGGAGCAAGCTAGGATTCAATGCAAGGGCCCATTCCGAGCCCAGCCCAATTCCACTCACCCTCCGGGGCACGATCATGGAGATGGGCTCAATCAGACCCTTGAGAGTCACCAGCTTGTAGAAGCGGAACACCTCACAGGCTGACACATCCAGCCCGTGCTTGGGCATGACCCCTGTGGACAGGCACACACAGCTGTTTGGGATCCTGGGGATGGCCTCTTCAGCACACCCTCCTTCCCCCGGTGTCCTTGGCCAAGAGCGTCCTCGGTCACTTAGGTTTCCAGGCAATGATGTGCCTACTATGCTGAGGGTAGCAGGTAGGCTGGGGACCTGCTCAGTTAGGCTCTGTCTCCGGGTGAAAAGTTCTCAGATAAGCCCCTTGGACCAGACCTGCCTCAAAGAGGTGCATGCTTTAGAACTGGGGCCTTTTAGAACTGAAAGAGGATGCACAGTTATTTAAGTCTAGTCTGTTCTTTTTATAGACGGGACTCCTGAGAGTCACAGGGGGAGAGCCTTGCCCACTGTCAGGCAGTATGGCCGGGGCAGGGCCACAGAGCTTGTTCTCTTCTGAAATGAACTGGCTGCCCCAAGCCTCTGTGTCTCTGGTCCTCAGAAAGAAAGAAGAAGGAAGAAACCTTTCCCTATGCACCCGAGGGGTTTACAGGCAGCCTACGACTGCCGTCCTAGCATACCTCTCCTCTCCTAGGACCAGCAGTGAGTATGCACATGTGTGCATTATCTGTGTTCACAGCAGTCGCAATGCTCCTGACAGCTGCCGTGACTGCACACCTCCTGAGAGAGCAGGGCCATGCGGTGTTAGTGACACAGCTCTGGGGTCAGGCAGATCTGGGTTTGAATCCTGACTCTGCCCCTTGTTCCGGCTGGGAGTTCTTGGGCAAATCACTATATCTGAGCTTCAGGTTCCTGGGTTGGTTAGAGGACGACAGTAGTGGCTGCTGATGAAATAGTCTGGGAGTTGAGTGAGAAGATGCTTCTTAACTGCCTGGCACCATCATGAGCACAGTAACATTAGCTTCTTTCTCCACGACGTGAAAATGAGTTAAGGTTCTAGCTCTCTTTGAGTGGAGTGGAAGGCTGGTCTTCCAGATAAAGAGATTCCAGGAGCTGGAGGAAAATGTTGGAATGGTACCCAAGTGGGCTTTGGAGCCAGCAGGCCTGGCTTTGAACTCAGGCTTGGCCACTCAAGATGTATGTGACCTGCCTGGGGTGAGTTCCTTAGCCGATCTGAGCCTATTAAAAGTGCCTGGCTCCTGGGAACGGCTCAGGAGTGGCCACGGGTGAGGAGCATGGGGAGAAACAGCTATCCCTGGTTCCTCCCTCCCTCCCCTCTCCCCTAAGTCCTAATGTCCCTTCTTACTAAGTATCTCCCGAATTCACGCTCTTCAGCACATCTTCATGCCGTCTCCCTAGTTTCCACCCTTTCTTGCCTACAAGTCCTAAGCGGCTTCCTAAGTGATGTCTGGGCCTCGCTCCTGCCTTTTTAAAATACATCCTCCCAAATCAGTTCTCCCTATTGGGGCCAGAACAATCTTACACTAACATTTCGGATCACACCCACCTTCCGACAAGTTCCGACAAGTTCCCAGTAAAGCCCAAGCCCCTTCCCCTGTGCGATGGTTAATTTCATGCGTTGGCGGACCCATTAAAGAAGTGTGAGTGGGCATCACCCAGTCCACTGAGGGCTTGACTAGAACAAAAGATGGAGAAGGAGGATGTCGCTCCTTTTCTTCCTGCCTCATTGTTTGAGCTGGAACATCTCATCTCATCTTCTTCCTGTGGCCTGAGATTTACGCCATCGGCTCCCCTGGTCCTCGGGTCGGGTCTCCAGGCTTGGACTGATGACACCACTGGCTTTTGCGTGTCTCTAGCTTGCAGATGGCAGATAACGGGACTTCTCATCCTCCACTATAGTGTGAGACGATTCCTCATAAACTCCCTCTATAGATAAATTTGATTCTGTTTCTCTGGAGAACATCCCCTCACTAATACACTCTGTCTAATGCATCCTGTGGGATCTGGCCCCTGCCCACCTCTCCACTGCCATCTCCTGACGCTCTCTCCATCTACAGAGTCTGCTCTAGGTTTAGCCACACTGACCTCTGTTCTGTTCCTGGAACATGCGACGTGCCTACTTGCCACAGGGACTTTGGACTGACTGTTCCTCCTGCCATCATTATTCTCCCTCCTTCTTCATTTCAGATCTCAGCTTAAAATATCACCTCCACATTGAGGCCTTCCCTGATCACATGGTTCTAAAATAGCCCCCTGTCACTCTCTGTTCTCCCACCCTATTTAATTTTCTGCCTAGAGCTTACTTCCGTCCAATGTTTTCTTTCCTTATTTGTTTATTGTCTGTCTCCCCTTGGTGGAATAGTACCCTCTCTTAGTTAGAAGTCCTAAGTGTGACTCCTATTGTGAGGAAGGCTGTGTTCTGTACTATTTACCACTGCGCCCAGGGGCTGGTACAAAGTGGTATCCAAAAAGTGTTTGTTGAATGACTATGTGAAGAAGCAGGACTCAGGTGCTCTGCCAGGTGCCTTGTACATATGGTCCCTCAGCTTTACAACAGCCATGCAAGGTAGGTTTGATTGTCCTTATCTTGCAGATGAGGAAACTGAGACTCATAGGGCTTAGGCACACACAGCTGAGCTGGAATGTAAGCCTAGGTTTGACTCTAAAGGCCAGGCTGCTTTTCTTTTAGTTCTATTTGATGAAGAGATCACAGTGAAGGAGGGGGAGAGGCCAGAGAGCTGGGGAAGGGTAAAGGTGATGAAATGGTCTTAGGACCTCAGGCATATCTCTGGGCCTTCATTTTGCTGTTGGTCACTGCGGTGGGCTCTTGGTCCCTTCCACTGGCTGAAGCTGGCTCTCGGGCCCTGCCAGAGTACCAGATCCCCAGAGGGAACAAGCCAGATCGGAGCTCCAAGGAGGTGGGAAGGGAATAAAGCCCTGAAGAGACTTTTTCCACTGGGCAATTCTGACGGCAAACAGGGAACTGCTGAACAGTGTGCACTGCCAGTGTCAGTTGGCAGGGATGAGGGTTTTGTTAAGACTTCAGTGGTGGAAGAATGTGGGGTGTGAAGAACATCTCATCCCCACCCTGACTTAATGTGCTCTGTCAGGCCTGGGCCCTCTCTGGGATTGGCCTGGGAACCTGGGAAACCTGAAGATGCAGTGATGGGAACACCTTGGAACTTCCTCCTGTCCTCTCCGGCAAGGACAGAGCTGTTCCTGGGAACTGGGAGTCCTGGCTGTCCGAAGGCTTCAGGAAGGGGGCCTGGGTGGAGACCCCTCTCTGACCTTCAGTTACTGAACCACCACCTCCTACCAATGTCAGAACTCTGCTGGGTTTCAGTGTCCCCAGTAGGAAGTGGGACTGAAGGTACCTTGTACCCCACTGTGGGCTGCTGATGGTCGGACATGAAGGAGGATGTCAAGAACCACACAGCGGTCAGGACGAGTGGGCAGGGACTGGCTGGCTGAAGGGCAGGCCGGCTTCACAGAAGCAGCATCTAGAGGTTCTGTTCTGACTTCCTCATGAACTGTGGCCTTCTGAGTCTGATTTTATCATCATAGGTTTTTCATTGAACAGGGGAGGGTGTGCTCCATGAGCCAAACGTCCAGTGGCCCATTCTCTAGCATAGTAGGCTCTGGACGCCCTTACCGAGGCCCTTCTGTGGGGCTGGGGAGCGGAACTCCATGAGGTAGCTCAGGAAGGGCTTCTCACTGCTGATCTCATAGTACCGGATGTTTCCATCTCCCTGGGGACAAGGAGAGAGGGAGGTGAAGATGGCAGGGTGGGAGGGGAGGGCTGAGCAGGCCCTGGTCCCAGGGGTCTGAAGAGAGCCTTCGCTGTGCTCCAGAGGTGGTCAAAGGACCAGGGAGGAGCTCTAGATCCCTTTAGATCCCCGGTGGACCTGCACAGGGGACTTGCTGGGAGCAGTGTGGGGTGTGTGTGTGTATAAACAGCCTTTCTGACAAACACAGTCATGTCTGCCAAAGATCTCTTAGCAGGTACCTCAGATTCCATCACTAGTCAGTTTTACACACTTCAGGCTCTGATCCATACTCCAGTACAAAATCCCACTCCAATCCACCTCTGAAGTAGTTGTCAGTCATTGACACTTCAGTAAGAATTAGTGTCAGACTTGAGGGTAAGTTTCAGTGGAAGGGGGTGAGAGCCAGGCTAGGTCAGGGGAAGGCCAGAGAGGTGAGGCTGGCTCCTCTTAGGGGCGTATGGCAGGAGCAGGAGCACAGTGGAGGCAGGGGTCTCCCCTAGGCTGCCCCAGTCCCTCCCCCATCTTCTACTACCTTTCCAGCCAGGTAAAGCATATGAGTGTCAGCATCGTAGAAGGGGAACAGGAGGCCGGAGAGCCCATCAATTTCCTCTTCAATCAGAGGCATGGACAGGTCCTCCTGTGGGGAGGTGGCCAGTATCAGCCTATGTCCAGGCAGGGTGACACCTTACCTTCCCAAACCCCAGCAAGGCCCCCAAAGCTACATCCCTTGTCACCCTCCAGCCTTCCTGAGGCTCACCTGGTCCCAGAGGGCGATCTGTCTCGTGTTCCACCTGGAGACCCCTGTTGTGAGGAGCCGCTTCATGTTTCCCAGGAACACCACCCGGTTCACTCTGTGGTTTTTGCGGTCTGCCTCCTAGCAGAGGCAGAGTGAGCTGGAGAGCCAGGACCCCCTGGCACTAGGGTGCTGTAGCGGGCACAACAGTGGCCTCCAAAGGATATGTCCATATCTTAATCCATGGGACCTGTGAACACTTCCTTATTTGGAAAAGGGTCTCTGTAGATGTCATTTTAAGTTAAAACCTCAAGATGGGGGTCCTTAATCCCTCTGGAATATTCAGTTATTCATATGTATTCCTATATGTCATCATGAGTATCCTTACAAGAGATAAGCACAGGGAGAATCTGCAGGCACACAGCGGAGGTGATATGACCGTGGAGGCAGATGCTGGAGTGGTGTGGCGACAAGCCAAAGAAGCCAGCAGCTACCAGAAGCTGGAAGAGCAGAAGGATTCTCTCCCAGAGCCTCCAGAGAGGGTGCAGGCGCCCGGATTTTGGACTTCTTTGGCAGGAAGTAAGCCTCAAATTTCATCCAGATTTTCTGTCCCACCTAGCCCCATGACTGGCACCCAGGAGGTGCTCAAGAAAGTTAATTTCTTACTCCCAAATGGTATCTAATCCCTTCCTTATAGTCAAGACCCAGGAGACTCAAAGACCAAAATGAGCTCAGTTCACCGCCAACCTCCCCACTTGGAGCCGTTTCAAGAGCTGACACCTTGAGCCATTCCCCCAGGCCTATCCCATGCAGGTGGCTGGGCAGTGGGTCCAAAGCGCCCTGCTCCTGTGCCCATGATGGGGCTGGAGTAACACCCAGGATGCATGAGCTGAAGGGTGTCACCAGTTTGGCTCCCAGACAAGCCAGAAGAATCCCATCTGAGGAAAGGGGTGCAGTGGGGATGAGAAAGGGTGTGGAGACCCCTCTCTGTTAGAACAAGGCAATGTTCCTGTAAGCCAAGAAGGGCCCGGAACACATGGAGGTGCAGGCCAGATGTATGGGAGAAGGGAAGCTGGCACAGCCCTTTCCTCCAGGACTGAGAGCCACGCTCCAGGCTCCAGCACCTTCCCTTCCCCTCAAAAACTGTGGGGCTTCACCTGCAGTACACGGCCGGAACGGGGCTCAATCACACGCAGCTTCTTGTCCTTGCACGTGGTGGTGAGCAGGCTGCCGTCGGTGTTGAAGGACATGCAGAGGATCACATCCAAGTGGCAGTCGATCATCTTCACTGGCTCACCCACATCCAGGTTCCAGATGAGGACCTGCGGAAGGTGGAGACATGTGGGAGGTGGGGTGAGCCCTGTGGCTGGGGCATCTGCCCTGGGTCTGCCCCCAACAGCCCCGGGAGACCCCGAGCAGGGTCGGGCACACTGGGAGCAGCACAGTGCCATGGAGTTCTGTATCAAAGGCTGATGCATCCCTGTTACATAAATCTGCTGCTATCCTTGGGCAGATCTCAGCCCCGGCCTGGGCTCACTTTTGCTACTAGCAAGAAAGATAAATGTTCCTTGCCAGGCTTCTGTGGCTGGCATACCTCTTTGGGTGGCATGCCTGGGGGTAGGGGTTGGGGTTCCAATCTCTTCCCTCCAGCAGATTTGGTTGTTTCTTTATCCTACCAGGAGGGCAGCAGTCACTTCTAGGTTAAGAAGTGGCCAGGCAGAGGGTGTGGGCATGGAGTGGGCATTCTCCTCCAATCCATCCAGTCCAATCCTCCAATCTATAGCCACAAAAGGTAGTAAAGATGCTTCCAGCCTCTGAGGACCCCAGGAATGACAGGACACGCAGAAGATCCTACACAGTTGTGTGTAGCGAATGAATGAACAAACGTGGTAGTATTAGTGAATGTGTTCAGGGGAGTAGCAGTGCTTCCCACAGGCCCCCAAAGGTGTCCTTCTCTCTCTCTCCCCACTCCCTACTGGGCCAGCTCTGGCCACAGTTGTCCCCGTGCCCACCTTGTAGTCATAGCCGGCGCTGAATAGGATGTTGTTGGTGGTGGGGTGCCACTCGACCAGCCCCACGCGCCGGCTGTGCCCATGCAGCTCCAGGCGGGCCTCTGTCATGTTCCGCCTCAGCCCGCCCTCGGGGATCTCCCAGATCCGCACCTGCAGGGGGACAGAGGGCCTGGGCTGGGTGGGCAGGGCCAGGAGAAGCCCTGACAGCCCTCTCCCTGGACCCCAGGCTTTCAGAGGTCTGCCTGGTGGGGCACCGCCTGGCCAGGACAGAGAGGGAGATTGGCTGAGGCCTGGGGCATGGGCTCCAGGGCACGGTGGCAGAAGAAAGAGACCATCTCCTCTTGGCCTTTGGGAGGGTTTTCACTGAGAAGTCTTGGCCAACCTAGGTGACTATTATTGCTGGCGGCTGTTACTGTTATGGTCTAGCCAGGCCCAGAGGACCACACAACAAGCAGCTTTCGGCAAGTGTTACACTGAAAAGCCTAGCTGTTTCCCTTCCCACACCCAAGAGATCCGCCTTCAGCCCCAGCTCCCATGTTTGTGCCACACGGCTTTTTCCCCTACTCTGTCCCTCACCGAGGATGCGCACCTGAGCAGAGGGAATCCCATCTGGGGGGCTGGGAGGCCCAGATTCTCTCCTGAGAGGTGATGGACTAAGGGGCAGAGACTTAGATGTTGGAGCCTGAGTTGGGAGGATGGGCAGGGCTGTCTGATGGCTTGGGATGCTGATAAAGAAGAAGAAGGTAGTGATCGTGAGGGAGGAGGATGGGACAGGTAGGGAGGTGCAGAGAAGAGACCATGTGGCCTCAGAGAGAGACTGAGCAGTTGCTCTGCAGTTTTTCACCCCCGCCTCCCATTATGTACATTAGCCATGCTGGGCTGGGCTTCTGTTTCTCAAGCCAAACATACTCTGTACAGTTCAACTGTTTCATCTATAAATGAGAGAGAAAAATCTTAGCCTTACCTTGTCTACTGGTAGAATAAAATGAGATACTGGTTGTAAAAGTTTGTGAACTACAAAGTGCCCTACTGCCCTACAGAACTACAATTCTTGTTATAATTGCTGTTATTATCATTACTAATGCTATTCATTATGAGCCAATGAGTTGGAGGGGAAAATGCACATGTGACTAAACTTAGGACACCCTTTTGAAAATCTGAACTCCACCCTTGCTAGTAAGAAGAAAAATGGGAAAAATAGCTTTGAGATACCATTTATAATCTTCTAAAATCGCCAACTGGGGAAAAAGAGTCAGTGCTGGCAAGCTTATATACTGGAACTTGTATATTCAATTGGCTTTGGTAGTATTATAAACCAGAGTAACTCTTTTGGAAGCAATTTGGCAATGGTTGGTACAAACCATAAAGACATTTATACTCTGTTCTTTGACCTAGTAATTTCACTCTGAAAATCCAGTATGAACAAAAATCTCCATGCATGAAGATGGTCATTGCAAGACAGAAAATTTAGAAACACTGTAAGTGACCAACAGTAGGGGAACAATTTAACATGTCAGATTAATCAAATATTAGCTATTTGATTATAATTCTGAAGCCGATGGATAAACATGGAAAGCATGTTAAAGAAAGTTAAAGGCAGTCCCAAGGTCAGGGGAGCAGGGCTGGGAACTGGGGGCCCCTAAGGGGATCCCCTTCCTGGTGCTTTCCTCTCAGACCACAGAAGGGAGCATTTCCCACACGTTTCCCTCAAAGACCCAGCTCTACACATGTACACCCAGGAGCAGGTAATAAAGGCAGGTTCAACCATGGATTTGGGGTCATCCTTAGGTACACCATTTTCTCAGTTTAAAGAACATTCTCTAGGAAGTTTTTAATTGGGGACAGTTTGAAATGTTTTCTTGTGTCCGCTGTAATCAGCTTCGGGTGCTCCAGCACTCCATGAAAGCCCAACACTCTGTAACAGCTCTGTGTGGTGGTGGGGCTGGGGGTGAGGGGTGACATAAAGGAGCCCAGTAGGCCCCATGATCTTGTGACAGACCCTGCCCAAAGGCATTCAGAGATGAGTTCTGATCTGGAGTGGAGGGGAGGGTGAAGGGGCCATCAGGGTAGATGACTCAATAGTCACCAATAAGACACACATGTGCTAGAGGAAGGTGACCCTTGAAGAGGTGACTAATGCTTGGGTTAGAGACACACACACCCCACACATATCACACACATACAACACGCAAATGCCACACACACCACATTTCTTTCTTTTCTACCCAAAGGGATGCTATATGCATGTTCTTCTGCAACTTGCTTTACTCAGGTACCAGAGGGCATCTTTCTACCCCATTGCTAATGATCAACTTTATCTTTTAAGAGGCCAGAGGGAATCTGTTGTCACTGTGCTCTGACGAATTTAACGAACCTCTACTAATGGCCACCTGGGTTCTGCCCACTGTGTTCACTATTATAATTTATCCTCTGATGAACAGCTCGGTAGTGCAAGTTTGTGCATGGGTGTGACTATTCCTGTAGGACACATGCCTGGACATGTTTTACTTTTTTATAGTTACTGTAGAACTGTCCCCAAAAGCTGTCCCAGTTTCCACCACAGAGTCCAAGAGCACTTCTTTACCCACGTCTCTAAAACTATACCTTCAAAAAAAGACTTCCGCCCATCCTGTAGGTTGAAAATGCTGCTGAAATCACTGTTGTTTAGATCTGTGTTTCTTTGATTGTTTGAAATACCAGGTGTCTTTCTCTGTGTTTATTCACCACCCTTGTTTGCACATGACGAGGGAGCTTTAGATTTTGGACCCAAAGTGATGACATTTCAGGGGGCGGGATCAGGAGCCAGTGTGGAGGTATTTGGGGGCAGAGGATGCCGTCTACCATGCCTTGCACTATATCTTGAGGACAACAGATAAGTATGTATACACATGACCACCAGGGCATTTGGTGTGGCAGTGCGTCTGAGGCAGGAAAGTGGCCCCTGGCCTTTGAGATAGGTCTTTGAAACATAAAGTTGAGCCTCATTCATTCCAAATACCCCTTAGGAGGCTGAACCTTGCTAGCCAATGGGATGGGCTCTGAGTGTCTCTCTCTCTCTTTCTCTCTCTCCGCTCTCCAGCAGCACACAGTGGGGCAGACAAGGCAGAGAAGCTGTAGGAACACAGAGCAGGAGGTGGGGTGGGGTGGCAGAGGGTCTAAGGTGAATCCAGTCTGGGGTGGGGGAGGGTCTGAGAAGAGCAGGGTTAGAAGACAGGATGACGACTCAAGTTTGAAAAGACAGCATGGGGCTATGGAGAAGGGCAAGGAGACAGAAAAATGGCCAGCCCGTGTGGGTTCAGGCATAGCAGGCGGGGACATTGAGGGCAGGTCAGCCTGGCTGGTGTGGAGCAGGCTGGCAGGTGGCAGAGGAGGTCAGAGGCCGGGTGTGTCACACCTGGTCACTGTGGCCCAGGGTTAAGTCCTAGGAAAACCTTTTCCCAGAAGAACCTACTTCCAGAGCAGCCAGCTAATTGAGGTGTCCCTGGGTAATGTCATGTCCTGGTTAAGGGAGAGACATGAGGGAAGCCATGAAGTGAGATCTACCCAGGCTCTGTTCCCAGTCACTAGCTGCACGATCTTGGACAAGCCAGTTAACCTCTCTGAGGTTCAGGCTTCTTGTCTAGACGATGAAAATAGACGTGTGTGCCTTATTATAAGTCAGTGGGTTAAACTAAGCCAGGCTCCAGTGTTCTTGTGAGACTGAGGCTTCCTAGCGGCAGGAGCTGATTTGTTGGGGTGACAGCTCTACCTATGAACTGTTAACCTGAAAAATAAAACAGTTCATTTACTAGCAAAAATCGGTTTATGTGCGAAAAGCAGAGATAGCAATCTGGGACATGCAACCTTCAGCAAAACCATAGGCATGTCCAGAGAACAAAGGAAAGCAAACTCTTAATAGAGCAGAAAGGGCTCCGTTAGGAGGGCTTGTCTAAGCAAAGTCCATTGGAGTAAACTGGAGTCCCACGTGTCACGATTCTCACTGGCTGAGTTCTGACAGTCTCTCACTGGCTGGGCTGTTGTGGAGAGGCAAAGGTGAAAACCTTTCTGCTGGGGAGTCAAATAGCTAAGGCAGTGTGGGCTGTCTCTTTGGGTGGGGTCTGACATTTACCAGGACTGGCAGGTGTGAGAGCTCCCCCTGCAGGCCTCCTGAGGCCATGTCAGCGAGGTTTCCCTTTGTTAATTTTTGCAGAACATTAGGGGCTAAGCCAAGGGGCCAGGGAGGGCAGGACCTATCTGTGCCCAGGCTCAGCCCTTGGACTGGATCCAAGTACCATGGAGTTAAGGGCTTCAAGGGAAAGCCCAAAGAGCTGTTTTCACCAGTAACTGTTAGATGTAGGGTTCCAGGCAGGACTTGGGGGACCCTGTTGAAAAATGTCCCACAGGGGGAAAGAGGTACCTTCCATTTGATACCAGCCATTCCCCCCCCGGGGCCCAGTTTTCTCATCGGTACATTGAGACAATATTGGTTAATCTTCCAAAGGTCTCTGCTTTTGACATCATTGAATGTACCACTTTGGGGAAGAGACTGGCTCTGTTTGACCCACAGCTACAGCTAACATGCTATAGGAGTTCAGAAGAGGAGCTGGGGTTCACAATGGGCTTAAGTGGCTGAAAAAGGAATTCCAGTCTCTTAGTAGTCCAGGGATTTGTTGGAAACGAAGAGTAGATGGGCGTGGGAGGAACACTGCAGATCTGCTGCTCTGGGAGGTTGCTTCAATTCAACAGGAAACCTAAGAAAGTCTGCCACACCAGATTTCTGGAAGGAAGGGGTGGGGAAAGGTGGTAAAAGCACTCTCTCCAGCAAACCAGCTGCGCCTGGGACTGTCCCTTTCTTAGGTCCCTGGGTCAGAGCCCTCTTTCACTCAGTTACCTTCAATCCAACGACATATGCCCCACCCCTCCCTGTGTCACACAAGCTAGATTCCTCTGCCTCAAGTAGCTCCCTTTTCGGGGAGACAGCAAACAGTGCAGACGAAGCTGAAGCAGGGCGGCCGATCAGGACGTTGTATAAAGCTACAAAACCAAGTGCCCCTGTGCTAAGGGGAGGGAGCAGCTGGTCAACAAAGCGAGAACCGTGCATCCGACAAGCTGTGTTCAAAGCAGGGCTCTGACCTCCTTGGCTGCCCAATCCCTTCTTTCTCTCCTGGACC